ACCATCTTTACGGGAGGCGTGCGTGCCTTTGTAAATCCTTGGAACTGCCCACAAATCATGATAACCTGCACAGCATAGAGCCCCGAGCTAGAGGGTTCCACACCACGAAGGCCTTTCATGGTGCGTCTTGGATCTTGGAGCGAATGTCGTGCACGTGACATCACTTGCCAAGCCGCTTTCGCTGTCTTCGCCACAGCTGGGAAGCGCTGGACTAAATACTAAGAAATATCGAATAAGAGAAAGGATGATATGAGAGGATGACAAATAGTCAGTGTACTTATCAAAAAAGAATGAAACAAGGGAAGAAAACATGAGAATTCCCTGCACAACGTAGAGAAAAGTAGGAGTAAAAATGATATCGTCAGGAAGGACTGGGAAGAAGTAGGATGGGCAGAAAAAGGCGTGGGAGCTAAGACAGATTCGGAATCATATAAAGACGACACGATAAAAGTGAAAGTCAAAAAGGCAAAGAGGTAGCACAAGTTACAAGTAGGCAAGTAGATGTCTAGGAACAAAAGTTAATGTAATGGTATGTGTATCATATATGAAAAAGATGACAGTAAGAAGAGAGAAAGAGGCAAAAGACTGGGAAGAGCAGACTTCTAGTCAGAGAAGAAAGACACCATGGGTCAATTTGGAACGGTTAGGGCAACGTCAAAAAGGGAAAATCCTGCTAACCATAGAAACTTACCGCAATGCATCAGGGCCTTGAATGATTTGTTGAACTTCCCTTGCTTGAGCCACCATAGTCTCCATACGATCGCCAGTCACCTTGAATAACGAACATGTATGAAAGAAATGCGGCTTGTTCGCTGCAGACGCTGGCGTGTGGCAGATAGGTAGGGTTTGACGCGGAGTCAGCCAGTTCTCCCCAATTGTGGTCACCAGTCAGCTTCCACAATTAATGGAGGACCGCGTTGGCGCCGTGCCAAACACACTCCGCTGACATGCCCCGTCAGCACGAACAAAACTGTAGAAGAATCCCATATGGGTCAAGCCACTTACTGATAGTGTCTGCGAATAGTTGAAGAGTTGCACGAGCAATGCGCGCAGACCTATCGAGCTGTTATTAG